TTTTTACGTTCTAGTTAAAGTTATTGATTATCTTTTGTTAAAACTAAATTACTTTGTTATACTTCCAGTACGTGGGCGGCGTGGTGGTGCAGCTGTTATCACTGTCGCCCCACGCCAAACAGGTAGTGTGTTCAAACCCCGGCTTCCCCGGGCTTTCTGTGTGGAGTTTGCATGTTCTCCCCGTGTCCGCGTGGGTTCTCTCCGGGTGCTCCGTCTTCCTCCCACCATCCAAAGACATGCAGGTTAATTGGTGTCTCTAAAAAATTGTCCGTGAGTGTGAGTGGTTGTTTGTCTATGTGTGGCCCTGTGATGGACTGGCGACCTGTCCAGGGTGTACCCCGCCTGAGCTGGGATCGGCTCCAGCCCCCCGCGACCCTGTACGCAGGATAAGCGGTTGACGATGGATGGATACTTTCAATACGGTGTCGCTTTTTTTTGTTTACACTCAAATGGCAAAGCAGTCTGGTTTGGTCATTATAAAGATTGCAAAGGAGCACGTTAGATGAAAATATTTGATGATGACAGTATTTTATAAGCATGACCATAATGACAAAAGTCCCCTAACCTTAACCAAGTAGGCTACTAATTTTGACGCAAACCAATATCTTTACCTAAATCTAACCATGAGTTTTGGACAGCACAGACAATTGATGTCGTCCTGCCGATAGGGGCGTCAGATCAGAAAACGCTTCTTGGTGTTATTCTAACACGCTCAACTGTCACTTGCTGGACAAACTAAAAATTATCAATGGAAAAACCTACATACATAGACATGTACAAACAGAATAGAAATGTGTATGACAGTTTAATGAAGCCCCAAGATCAGCACAATTTGAAAATTAAAAGCTGATAAATGAAGCATATGAAATACTGAACAGCAGCTGTTTATTTAGAAGGTGCCAGGGTGTCTTCGACAAATCGTTAACATAATTGAGAAGCCTAATGGAGAGGAATTTTCACTGAGACACATAAACATTGCTTTAATGGCTTCTGGGTGCCACAGATAATCAAAAACAGTAACTGAAACTAATGTCATGTATTTAATCATTTATAAGTTGCATGTTAAAAGCAACCTTGACACCTTCAGCTGCGACCTTTACCTTCAGTATTGTCTCCCACTCCTTCCAGCTCCAGTTTGTGTCACAGTGATAGTGAGACAGCCGCTGCAGTTTCTCTTCACATACTGCTGGAGGGACGCCTCCACTGATTGTTTACTGACCTGAGCTTATTAGAGGGGATCTAGTAGCCTGGCCCACCCAGGAGAGAGAGACGGAGAGAGGAGAACTGATGTTCGGCAGAGCATATTGTTCACTTATCTGATGTAGCCTATTTAAACCTTAAAAGTGGGGAATGTGATTCTCATGCGATACACGCCCTTTTCGGCAGATTCAGCAAAAACGTATGCGTATGCAGCCCTGGCTCTGTAAATGGGAAACAAACAAAATAGACATTCAGTTTACTTTCCAGTTAATGCTGTTGTTGTGATGTTAGCTTTAGCAGGAGAGTTGTGAGCATCTCTGTCTGGAGCTGGTGTGCTGTCTCGTCCTCTCTGCATGTTAGCTTGACATCAGCAGCTGTTTCAACAGTTTGCCACATTAATATATTAACATTGATAACAATGATTGTTTTATCCAATAATTTATAGATGCCAAAAAATAAATGTGTGTCCTGTGTTGTTGCCAAATTATATCTATTTTTTCAAACGTTCTTCTAATCTTTGGGGGTTTTTTTCAACTGAATTTGTGCATAATGGGGGTGTCATAAGATGACACCCCCTTCTGATGAGTCACAAGTAGACAAATAGACAAAAGTTTCCAAAAAGCCTGACCTGGGTCTCTAGACTCCAGGGGTGTGGGTTCATTAAAACTTAGAAGAGCACATTACCCAAATGCTAATTCTGGCTCTTCAGTTTTTGATGCCCCACACACATATAGCTACACACTGAAAATCACTGACCCAGTAGATGCAATACTGGGTTAACTTCACCCTGTACAAGTGGGTTGTTTTGTTTTGTTTTCACAGTAGTATTTCTTTTAGGTTATTTACACAAACTAAAATGAGTGTTGTGGTTATTTTGACCCGTTGTTACACTCAACAAGCTCCAGCTTAACCTTAAAACTGTCACAATGTACTGTTAGTTGTACATAATCAAACACATAATTAGCAATCAGTAAATAGTGTAAGTTCAGAAAGAGTTTAAAACAGTAATATTCAAAAGAAAAAAAGAAAACAACCTGTCTTGGATGGTTTTGTTCTCATGGGAACGACTGGGAGCCCAGTAATAAGTATTAAGTTTTGACCCTGTGACTTTTAGTGTGTAACTGTCTTTTTACTGCCCAGAAAGCTGATGCGAGAGGGCAGAGAGCCACTTATGAAGGAGAGAAAAATAAAAAGTGAGAGGGTTTTCAAGAGAAGAAGCAAGCAGAGCCAGAAGCTGGAGAGAAGAAGGAGTAGAGACAGTAAGCAAGAAAGAGAGTGTGAGAGGAGGTGAGAGATAAAAAAAAAAAGATATGAACAGAGGAATAAAAGGAAAGCGAGGAGCTTACGCAGTGAAAAGAGCACATTAGGGGCGACCTGCTGTGACAGTAGTGTGGGGAACGGTGAATAACTGCCTCCATTTAGACCAGTGTCCTGGTGGTGTGGAGCTTGAGGCCTCGGATGAACACACACACACACACACACTATCAAAAAACCCCAAATACATAAATAAAGCAAAAGAAACTCATTCAAAAGCACGTGTTCTTGGACAAACTGATACCTGACACACACACACACACATGTTCACACACCTCCTCGGGGCTCTCCTCTGTCCCTCTCATTCACACATTTCTCCACATTGGCCGGATTAGGAACACTTTCTCTTGGGTGTGCGAGGCTGCCCCGCACACAAAGAAACACTTGGGGACAGGATTAGTAGGCTTACAGCGGATTCACATATGTCCAGTTCAAGCAATTGGTATTCAAAGCTTTACACTTTCAAATGCCACCAAGAGAGAGCAAAGCCGACCAGCGCTTTTCTTTGCATTGGCAGCACCTTTATGAGAAGGGCTCTTTTGCTGGGCCAACAATGAGGCCGTGAATACTCATTTTTACTGTTCTACCAGGGGGACCTCATTGTGCACCGAGAGGAGTTTGAGACAGACTTTATTATCCGGGTTTGAAGTGCTGGGTGGTGGGTTGTACAGACGGATGGATGGATGGATGGGTGGATGGATGGGTGGATGGATGGGTGGAAGGATGGATGGATGGATGGAGGGGTGCTGAGGTGGTGGTCAGAGGATGTGTTATTGTTGGTGGCCCGTTCCTCCACTCCACCTTCACAAAACAGATCTGGAGTAGACCCTTCAGAGTGGAGAGAGCAGCTCTCAGCAGCTCAATTTAGACAATATTGACTCAATTTAATGTATTCTCCCAATATTTTAATACAACACAGAGATCTGTCTGTTCACTTAATGAGCCAGTAAAATATGTCTTATGATCGATCAAAGTTTGTGTTTATTTTTATAAACTGGTTTATTGTATAATTTTGAAAATTATGTAAGTTAATATAATTAATAGTTAATAATAATATAATTTAATTTTTTTGTTTATTCCTTGACATTTTCTGTAGTGTGGTAACACTCCTCCTTATTTTGTATGTTTAGAGGGACAAATTATAGCCTACTACTACTTCTAAAATACTTTGAGGGACAAATAAAGTATATTGAACTGAAATATTGATTTGCTATAAAAACTATATTGTAAGCAGTTTTTGTTGAGCATTTTCACTGTCACCCATACTGTAGATTTAAAAATAATGGCGTGCTGAATTTTATTAGGCTAATCAAAACGGAGTTTGTTCCTGTTTTACTTTTTTGGGATAAAATTGATAACGAAAAAACAGCTAAAAGCTATTAATTAGCCTATAGGCTACAATAGTTTAAAAAAAGATAACGATAATAAAAACGCATGGAAGCGATGAGAAGTTAGTGAAGGTCCGGACTCTGACGCCCACATGCTGCCATATGGCCAGCAGAGTGCGGAGTGTCGGAGCGGTAATATTACCTCTGTCCCAGCGGAGGCCACACAGCAGTCGCGCCGAATGGGAAAGCAATTTCCCTTCCCATTCCTCCTCATTCTCTCGGGCAACCACGTGCCGAATCTCGGACACTTTGGTTAAAAATGTGACTCTGCGGGAATAAACACCTCTCTTCAAAGTGAACACAACCTGGACTCTCCTCCTCCTGACGCATTTAACCAACTATTTGTGTGTCCGTGAGATCAACACATTAAAAAAAAAAAGTTATGACATGATTTTGTGCATAAAATGTTACGCAGCTCACATGCTCAGCAGACAAGACAGGACACAACGAATAGCCTATAGCTGTTGCGGTTGCAGTTACGGTTGTTTTTGAAAAGGAAAGTGTAAGAGGCTCAAAACAACTTCTAAGACATTAGTAACCTTACAAAAATCTCACAAAACAAACATTTTTTAAACTGACCAGTTAGTCCCAGAAAGAGCAACATTCTGAAGAAACAGAGAAGAAGAAGAAGAAGAAGAAGAAGAAGAAGAAGAAGAAGAAGAAGCGCGCTGTGCCCCCCAATAGTGTCCTGACAATGGCAGTGAATGGTTATGCACCGCGGTCACTGGGACAGTCAAAGCACACCGCCCCCTTTCTAACGGGCACGTCATCTTCCTAACTAGGCGTTATGAATAGGAAAGCCGCTTTTGTCTGCCCGCATATATAAATACCCACTATCAGTGTCCTTGTCACCGCAGAGATACAGAGACAGAGAGAGCGAGAGAGAGAAAAGAGAGAAAGTCGGCAGAGGCAAAGTAGTCACCGATGTGATAAGAAGGACAGAAGCGTGGGACAGAAGGGATACAGGCAACATCAGGTGACTAGAGTGACTAAAGGCTCCGGAGAGGGAGAGAGAAGGAGTGAGAGAGAGAGAAAGTAAAAAGAGAGAGTTAAAGTGAGTGAGTGAGAGAGAGAGAGAGAGAGAGAGAGGAAGCCAGCTGCGACCTCCTACCCAACAACCTCGGAAGCGAACCCATAAAATGAATTCAGACTCCAGCCCGAGCAGCAGAGCCTCTTCCCCGGACATGGACGGCATGTTTCTCCGAGACCATCATCCACAACACCATCACCTCCACCACCACGTCGGCTCCTCAGTGTCCTCTTCTACGCAGAGCGGTGAACAGCAGCGCCAGAAGATAACCGGCGGCGAGCACCTGCGGTCTGGAGACGGAAAGTCAGCGTCCGTAGGAAGCAGCAGAGACAGCAACAAGTTCAAACTGAAGAAACAAATCACGGAGGAGGAAATGTACCACCTCCGTCTCAAGATTAACGGCCGGGAGCGGAAGCGCATGCACGACCTCAACCTGGCCATGGACGGCCTGCGCGAGGTGATGCCCTACGCGCACGGGCCCTCTGTGCGGAAGCTGTCCAAAATCGCCACGCTGCTTCTCGCCAGGAACTACATCCTGATGCTCACCAGCTCCTTGGACGAGATGAAGCGGCTGGTGGGGGAGATTTACGGAGGGCAACACTCGGCTTTCCACTGCGGCACCGTGGCGCACGCAGCCGGGCCAGGGGGACACTCCGGGGGCCCCGCCGCGGCAGCCGCTGCCGCTGCCGCTGCCGCAGCCGCCGCACACCAGGTGCACCCTCTCCTCGGGAGCGCGCTGTCTTCCTCCACGACCTCCACTCTGTCGGGCGCGCTGCCAGGGCTCACGTCCATCAGAGCACCCCACTCCCTGATGAAGGGCTCCGCGGCTGCGCCCCCGGCCCTGCAGCTGGGCTCCGGCTTCCAGCACTGGGCCGGCCTGCCGTGTCCCTGCACCATCTGCCAGGTGCCTCCTCCTCCACACATCCCCATCAGCTCCGCTGGCCTCACGAGACTCTCAGAGGGCAAGGACCTGATGAAATGATGCCGTGTGTGCAGAGACTGAAATATGTAATGATGTTTGTAAATAGAGAAATCAGGGCATGAGGGTGGATTTGGCCTCACTGGTGCATGTTGTTGTTTAGTCTGTTTTCTTGTTTGGCGTATGAGAAAAAAAGTTATTTTCCTCCTTGTAACAAGGACTTATAAAGACTGATGGTTTTGCCAGTTGAAGGTAAAAAGAAAAAGTTCTATGTCATGCAACAAGATACCACGACCCTCTTGCGTGTGGCTGAGTTGTAGTCTCACACCACAAAGTGAAAGGTGGAGGAGATTTGCACGAACATTTTGATTTAATTTAAAATTTGTTTTGTATCAGGCGTCATTTTGTGAAAACGAAGAATGTTCTCTGTGCCTTGTACCAAGGATTTTAAACTCGAGTTGTAAATGAAAATGAAATGTGTTTGCCTGAAATGATTCTGCTACCGCGGAAGTGCTGTTTTGAAATCTAAGTTTTCAGATTTATTATGTCCATTTGTGCTCCGATTTCCATTTTTAATTTCTGTATTTGTTTATGCATGATGGAATAATTATCACAGCATGATTTGTTTTTGCTGAACTGAATTGTTATGCCCAGAGACCCCGTGTCTTTATTTTTGTACATTGTTGATGACTGATGAAATATTTATTATCGCCCAGCGTCCCGGGATGAAATTTCAATAAAACTGAAATTATGGATCATATCCAATGTCTCCCTCTTTTTTTATAATCACTACATTTATCATGCCAACTCTGTGTTATACTTCCTGAAGTCTAGTTAACGTAAATTCTACTTTGTTATTGTTTATTTTCTTATTTTTTAATGGGTGCACATTGAAAGCGGCAGCCTCCCTAGAAATAAAATTGGTTTATTTTTAAGAAAGGGCAAACCTTCATCCCTCTAAATCTTTCCCATTAATTAATTATAATTCTCGCACATTTTCAGCATTTAAATATTATTTCAAACGAAACGATATTTTTGTGTAATAGGCAACTCTAATAAACTAGAGAAAGGCCTTGCTGTGTTGACTTTTACAGACTCTACATTTCTACTGGTCGCTTATCTGCTTATTTGACATAAACGAAGATAATATAATTTAACAGAACACACATTATTAATGTTGATTATAGACAAAATATTAAGGAAAACTACAAATGAGTGATAGAAAATTACTCTCAGAAAATTAGATCCTCCCCCTTTAAATTATTCTTACCGAAACGGAATATTCCTGTACGAGTGCAGCAGCATTTTTGGTGGGTTTGTCTATTAAAATTAATATTTTGGATACAGCTCTAAAAAAAATGTGAGGAAAGCCCCAAAGTTTCACATATCGATCTTCTGCAGCAACAAGCCACTTTAACACAAATTCAAACGGATATTTAAACCTGATTTTAAATCAGCTGGTAATTAAAATGTTCTTCTGTCTCATTTTTGATCTCATGCTGCACAATGACACTAGTTTATAATGAGTTAAAAACGCAGACATGGTCACACACAGCATTTATTTAACATTTCCGAGCAGCCAACAGAAATGTTAAGAAGGAGAAAACGAGGGTGAAATGAGGGACTGGGGCTGCTGCCTAAGGGAGTCCAGTTGAATTGTTCCCGTGTAGCAGCTAGAAAGTGATCCGCCTGGGGAGCGCAGAGCAGTTTGTCCGCCGGGTCCCTCGGGTGTTTCTCCGTCTCATCTCTGCAGCGACAGAATGTATGTTTGTGGAGATTACAAGTTAATTGTTCATGGGGGACCAAGAGGAGAAAATCACATCACAGAAAGGCGTCGGGATTACAGGCTACTAAATGCAGAAGATTATACATTCAGACCCCCTCCTCGGCCTCGCCGCATGCAAATGAGTGTGTGGATTAAAAAAAATAAAATAAAGAAAGACAGAAAAAGAAAAGGAGATGAAGCCCTTTTGTAACTTATTTGGAGGGAAGAAAACACAAGTTCTGTGGCTAAGTTGAGAAAGCGTGAAAGAGTTCATTTTACACTTCTTTTTTGTCTTTAGGAATGAGTATAGCCTGTCTGTCCCTCGCAGGCTGCCAGATGGGATGTAAATAGCTGGGGAGCTGCAATGGCCTTTTAACCACACAACACTGAGGAGGATGTTGTCAAGGGAAGCTGGCGGTTTGCGAGTTAATAGTCATGAGTTGAGGTAATTACTTAAGGTTTATTATGCTCTGGTTTCAAAGGAAATGGACTCTTCAATGGGCCGAGAAATACTTCTTAATTCTGGCTAATTAGGAGCTGAGTAAAGCGGAGACAACTGCTGCTGCCGCTGCCATCAAGCACTGTTACATTCATGGAGGGGGATCATTTGTAAGTAAGGCACAAAATAATGCACAAAACAATCATGCACATGCAAATAACATGCACAAAACAAATGCAAACCACGGCATTTGCGTGTTGAAGAGATGAATGCAAATCACTGCTTTTTCAGTTTTACACTGCGAGTAAATCTTTCTGTTTGGTTGGTAACAGGAGGTTTTTGTTTTATTGCTGCTGGTCTGCACTCTGAAATGTAAGATTCAGCTAAAAGCCTACAGGTAAATAAAAAAGTAATTGTACACTTTCAAACAGTGGTTGAATTATGCGTTTTCTGTCACTGTGTGGGGCTTATCTTCCTAGCAGGGTTCACAAAAATGATCCTCATTAGACTCAGACTTTTATTTATACTTTTACCTAATCATGTAAATCCCACTGAGATTCAAATTCGTCTTTATTCATTCTGGGAGGCCTAGCAAAGACTGAGAGAGCTGGAGAGCTGGAAATACCTTAAATTAAAGATAAACATATTGAACAAGAAAAAACAAAAACAAAAACATTTCTAGATCTTTTTTTCTCTTCCCTTTTCTTTCCACTTAGTTTACAGGTCTGCAGCAAGCATCCAAAGCTCCAAGCATAAATAGGAAATAGATCACGTGTGAATGCATGAAAAAATAAGCCAGAGAACCCAACACATTCTCATTTCTAACTTGTTAGGTATGGGGCGCTTGGTCGAGACCCCTTGGTGTCGCTTTTTAACGCACTGGGCAGCCTACCTCTTTTCAGGGCCTCAGGGCTTCGCTGTCAAGTTAGCAATAATAAATATGCAACGTCCGCTTACACTTTCAAAATAAAACGTGTGTTTTACGTTGTGAAACGGTTGCAGTTTGGTTAGGTTTAGACACCAAAATGACTTGGTTAGGTATGGGGGGGAAACATGATTTGTGTTAAAATATGTACCTATGATAGTTAAGTTAAATATAATAAACGTTGAAAACTTCTTTCACACTGTGAACTAACACTGGCCTCCTGGGTAAAATTTACATTATTGTTTTTTTCCATCAGAGTTTCAACAACTTTGCCTCTGATTGGCTGGTAGGCCTATGCTACTCGTTTCCCCATTGGTTTGGTTGGTTAAGGTTAGGGTTAGCCAATCAGAGGCAGAATCAAGGGCGCCAAGCTGGTGCCTGCACGAGATGTGGATAAAAACTGGGGAGGCTTCCTCAAGTCCAAGTCAGGAGTCAGGAGTAAAGAGTAAAAAGCAGAAGATGTTCAAGGGTCTTCAGGTCAAGTATGTGAGAGGGTCAGATCCTGTACTAAAGCTTTTGGACAATAACAGGAACATCGCTGAAGAACTCAGCATCCTCAAGTGTAACACAGACAGCATGGAAGAGTTCCTGGATGAGAAATTAGACCGGATATAGACACGAGAATCCAACTTTTTTAAAACATTTTTTATTTTTTTTATTTTTGGTTATGCTAATGATGCAACACAACACAACTGTCTAAAATATGGTGGGGTGAAAAAATAACATGTGAAAGTCTGATGCAGGCCTACCTCCTGCCTGAGTTATTTATACTAAACCTACTTTCAGTGTTGAACAATGATGAAAAAGTGACGCCATGGCGTCTTGACTAAGTGTCCATATGTGGGAGTGAGATGAGGTTGAAATAAAAGAGTTGAGTTAACTTTATTGCCATCACAACATTCAACACATACTAATATAACAATAATAACATACATGAGAACATATTAAAATACACAAAGTAATAGTATGAATATCAAAGATACGCTTAAAACAATTAGCCTAAAAGTGTGAAATGTTTGCACAGAAGTTAAATATGCAAAATACCATACATTAAAACATAGTTCTCTGTACTGCATATATTACAGACCGATGATAGGAGATATAATTTCTCCAGAAATCCTGTTTCAGGCCAGCCAGTGATGACTGAATGGACTTGAGGCCGTCAGCTCCTCTTTTCACAAGACTTGACAAACGACTGGTCCTTTATAAAACACACACCTGTTACTGAGCCACTTGAGGGTTATCACTTAAAGCAACACTGCTTTGTTCACCCTCTTTTCACAGACACACACACACAAATAACAGGCCTTTTTTCACTCTTGGACACAGATGCTAACAAGGCAAGAAAATACTGTCAGCCTCACTCAGTGGCCCCCTTTTTTTCTTAACCTAACCTCAAAATCTGAACTCTGTAAAGTTGTTTTAATTAAAACACACTGATAGATGCTTGCCAGCTCCATCATAGATATGAGACATCATAGATATGAGCTTTACAAAGCCGCAAATATAAAGCTTATTAGTCAGATATGTACAAACAGTGAGGGGCATTTAATGCTTTTCTAACTCCAGAGTTTGTATAAACGTTTCATTTGGCAATCATAGACTGTTGCTGCATTCGATCTAAAGAGTCCTGCCTGCGTGGAAGTGTGGGAGTGTGAAGTGGTCTGCTGGTTTGTTCATTTGCTCGGTCAGTGAGCTGCTGCAGGGCCGGTGCCTGAGGGCAGCAATTGAAAATAAATTTCAGTTGAATAAGGGGCAGCGACCGCATCAGGAGAGCTGCTGCTAGAACAAAAGCAGTTGAGGGGATAAGTTATTGACCAGGCTGACAGCCTGAACGAGGCTGATTATATCTGCCTGGTCGTGCTCTGTGTGTCATAGTCATAGTCAGTGAAGCAGGTGCAGAGGCCATTCCGTCTCTATGTCTACCTCTCTCTACCTCTCTCTCTCTCTTTCTGCCCTCGGGGAAGCCCCGGGGCCCTCTGCCCTCCTGTCCTCAGCTGATTCCACAGACTAATGTTGAACCCATACTGCCAAAACAGAAAGCATATTTCCATCATAAGAGCGCTTTGCCATCGCCATTAGCGACTGAGCTCATTTGCATGTTAATTGTGCAGTTAGAGAGGTGGCGTTGACACTTCCCTTTGTCCATGCAGGGTCGCGGGAAGTGAGGATGGGGGCTGCAGAATGACGTCCGTGTGTGTTATTGTTTCAGACTGGTTGTATCATCTGTTATCATGGGACTTTCACATAATGGAAAATGGAAATGGTTAATTTAATAAGGTTTTATTCATACTGTAAGATTCAAATAAATCTCCCATCTGTAACCTTTTTTAATATAAAACATGAAACCAGTCCATGTAATTTTAAGACATAAATGTGTGGAAAAAAACTAAGTACATTTACTAAAGACTGTACTTCAGTACAAATCTGAGGTAATTTACTACTATGGTATTACACTTGGTAAATATACATTTTATTCAGATGTATTTATCTGACAGCTGTAGGTTGAAGATTAAAGAGATTTGAAGATTGAAGGCTAATAATTCAATAATATGATTAGTGCAATGATTAGTAGAATTCAACTGAACTAATTCATTGGTCGATTGAGATTTTCATAA